CACCCGCGTCCCCAATCCGCCCACCCTCTCCGCTTCCCTGTGCCTGCAGAGACATCTATGAAAGCGCTCACGCCACAGGCCTTGCTCACCAGCTTCCAGGTCAACGCAATGGGACCGGCGCTGGTCATCAAGGTGTGTGTGAGAGCATTTAGAGTAACCAGCTACGGGGCGAGCACTGGTAATTATGGTGCGCATGCATTTTGAATAACATAGGATAGGTAGGCCCTGTGCCTGCAATTCAAATTCAAAAGCCGTAAGAGTACCAAAGTCTTGGACAAGCAACTCCCCAGTTTGCATGCCATGAGAGTTTAATCGACATACAACAAATTGTCTGTACGGAGGAGTATTTTCCCGAAGAATGTTCTTACAACGAAGCGGGCAGGACTGATCGTGAAGGTGCTTATGGGGTGGTATTGAAATACTCTACGCCTTGTGGTTTGGGCACTTCACTAAATGACTTTTGAGTCGACTCAAAAGTCGTCTCACGCCATGTGGTGTGGGCACTTTACTGAATGGTTGGGCGGCCAAGTCCCAGAAAGTCAGCTGTGGTCGGTACAGCATGGTTGGTTGTAATAAAGTAAAGTGTGTGTCTGAAGGAAAAGGGGAATGGAACGATTTAAGGAGAGAGTGGGAGATGAATCATGAGAGGATTACATGGTACGGGAGATAGGGGTACAACGTACATGACGCCTTCTTCTCCCCGGTGTTTCCTGTCCCTTTCTTATGAGTCGACTCAAAGTCATTATTTGAGTTGACTCAAAGTCATTATTGAGTCGACTCAAAAGTCAGCTTGGTACGGGAGATAGGGGTACACCGTACAGGTAGCACGTTTGTCTATCCGGTGTTTCCTGTCCCTTTCTTTCCCCCCATTTTGTTCTCTTACCGCTGTCATTGGCCTTTGTTGTCACCTCAGCTTCCGTCCATGGCACTTCTTCCCCGAACCTTCTCCCCTTTCTCCCCATTCTCTCCACTGTCTCCCTGCTGTGCTGATTGCACAGACGATGGCACAGTTGCTTGTCTAGGCGCCTCATATCCCCTTTTCACTCTGCCCCTACTGTGCTGTATGAGAATCACTCTTGAGAATTCTCGAAAGTGATTTTCATGAAGCTGATTGCACAGAAGATGGCGCGGTTGCTTGTTTAGTCACCTCATCATAACCCCTCTTCACTCTGTCCCTACTGTGCAACGGCGCAGAACATGGCGCCATTGCTGGCAGTGGGAGGAGGCGCAGCGGCAGGGAGGGAGGTGGCAGTGGCAGCGAGCATCAGCGCACGGGTGTCCTCGATAGGCGATAACCGACTTGGAGGGTGGCATTCCTACCGCGCTTCAAAGACTGCTCTCAACCAGCGTGAGTTGTCCAGCTGTAGTATGGTTTGACTGGAACCACAGCGGCGGGGAGGGAGGTGGCAGTGGAAGCGAGCATGAGCGCACGGGTGTCCTCGATAGGCGATAACAGGCTGGGTGGGTGGCATTCCTACCGCGCGTCAAAGACTGCTCTCAACCAGCGTGAGTTGTCTGGGCGCGGTATGGGTCGACTCATGGCACACCACTGGCAGGCAGGCACGTGGCAGGCAGTGGCAGCGAGCATCAGTGCCCGGGTTTCCTCGATTGGCGATAGGGGGGAGTAGTGGCATCAAAGACGGCACTGAACCAGCGTGAGATCTCTGGGTGTCTATTCCGAGATAACTTGAGGTACGGCAGCTGGGAACGAGGTGGCCGTGGCAGCGAGTTAGTACGAGCGTGCTGGTCTCCCCGATAGGCTCGATAGGCTCGATAGGCTCGATGGGCGACACAACATACTGGCCGGGTGGCACTTGCACCGCGCCTCACAGGCTGCCTTTTGAGGCGCCTCAACACTCGTCACTTGCACCGCGCCTCACAGGCTGCCTTTTGAGGCGCCTCAACACTCGTCACTTGCACCGCGCCTCACAGGCTGCCTTTTGAGGCGCCTCAACACTCGTCACTTGCACCGCGCCTCACAGGCTGCCTTTTGAGGCGCCTCAACACTCGTCACTTGCACCGCGCCTCACAGGCTGCCTTTTGAGGCGCCTCAACACTCGTCACTTGCACCGCGCCTCACAGGCTGCCTTTTGAGGCCCCTCAACACTCGTCACTTGCACCGCGCCTCACAGGCTGCCTTTTGAGGCGCCTCAACACTCGTCACTTGCACCGCGCCTCACAGGCTGCCTTTTGAGGCGCCTCAACACTCGTCACTTGCACCGCGCCTCACAGGCTGCCTTGAAAAAGTGTAAGTTGCTGCACATTTGTCCAGGTGTGTTCTTCTCAGTCGACTGGGAGGCAGGGAGGGAGGTGGCAGCGGCACGTGTCCTCGATGGGCAATAACTGACTAGGGGGTTGGCATCCGGACCGCGCATTGAAGTCTGCACTGAATAAGTGTGAGTGTCCCGGTGTATTCTGAGTCAACTCATGATGCAACGGCAGAGTGGTGGGGGCACTCTCACCACGCATCAAGGGCAGGCATGGAGCCTTCCTCCTTGGCACTATGTCTATCTGTGTTGTTTGATCATACTTTGCTGTCTCAATAATAACCGACCTTGCTCTCCCCTTTTCTCTCCAACCCTCGCACGTCCTCCTCCTAGTACCGCCATGGCCCATTTCAACCCACCCCTCTGCACACATAAGCATCCCTTCTCATTCCCACACACGCCCCCGTTCCTTAAACCTTTCAACCACCTCGCTCGCTCCTCCCCTCCCCCCGCTCCTCCCCTCCCCCCGCTCCTTCTCCAACCCCCCAGGGGTCTGCACAATGCCCATCGAGTTTTGGGCTTTCTCCTTCATACTCTCTCACTTCTTGGTTTCTCCTTTATACTCTCTCACTTCTTGGTTTCTCCTTTATACTCTCTCACTTCTTCGTAAGCCTTCCCCCCAGTGATTCGCACTATGTCTATCGAGTTGGCAGCAAAGAAGCAGCCAGTTGCCACCATCCTCCTCCAGCCCCCCTCTCCCCTCTCCACCCCCCTTCTCCCCTCTCCACCCCCCCTCTCCCCTCTCCACCCCCCTTCTCCCCTCTCCCCTCTTCTCTCCCCCAGTGGTCCGCGCTATGTCTATCGAGTTGGCAGCAAAGAAGCAGCCAGATGCCACCATCCTCCTCCAGCCCCCTTCTCCCCTCTCCACCTCCCCTCTCCCCTCTCCACCTTACCCACCCTCTCCTCTCCCCTCCCCCAGTGGTCCGCACAATGTCGATAGAATTGGCAGCAAAGAAACAGCCAGTTTCTGCCATCCTTCTCCACCCAGGAACAGTGGACACAGATATGTCCAAGCCCTTCCAGAGGGCTGTGCCGCCCGGAAAGCTCTTCACGCGAGAGTTTGCCGCCCAGAAGCTGCTGGGGATCATAGACAGGGTCAGTGCAGGCGATAATGGAAAGTTTTTTGCATGGGATGGGCAGGAAATTTCTTGGTAGAGTTTCGAACTACGATTTCGTTTCTGCCCATATCAGATCGCATAAGATCCCACAACTAGAGCCCTCGTGTTGCCAGCAAGCGACTCTACTATGTCAATATAAACAAGTGTTTGTAGGTAGTGTGGGGTTGCCTTGCTAGTATGGTAAACTCTCAAGTCTAAATACTGGTAACCAATAATGTGAGTGCACTACTGGCCATATCAGGAGACGTGTCTATGAAGAGCTCGAAATGAGTCACTCACAGTCGTACCGGCTTGGTACCTGGTGGTCAGTATGGCCAATGTTCAGGGGTAAGCATGGAGGCGCCATCAGTGCAGAAAGAATTGTTCGCAGACAATGATCTGAGTCGATGACCCAAGAAGCAGTAGCGTCACACACGCATGTGATGGTTTGTGTGGCAAATGTTGGGGGTTGTGCAGGAGCAATCAATGCAGAAAGATTTTCTCGCAAGAGGAGAGGCCAGCAAATAAGTTTAATTAGGATGGGTATGCGAGTGTGAAATATCAACACCATCCAGATACCTTCAACCACCGTAACGCAAGTACCGTACTGTGATATATAAGTTTAACCAAGCCAACTTATCACAAAGCTTCTCATAGCAAAGCCTAGCGCTTGCAATCACATTGTACTACCGTATGGCCCCGGATATAAGCGCAGGCCTATTAAAAGCGCATGCGCTTGTATCTGGAGCAATGCGCTTATGGCCGATCCTCAATTATAAGCGCACCCCTTATAAAACCCTGATATGTTATAAGCGCATGTGTAATTTTATTTATAATTCTTCATTAAAACGGTAACGAATCTCAGTTTTGCAGCGAGGCCACAACCCATTTTCGCTTACATTGACTTTCGAAGACCTCTCACATCCTGCGCGTCCAGTCAGCACGAGCTGGCACGCCCTCAAAGTGAGGTGTTACACTGTATTTTGCCTCTGGGCGCTCGCGAAGAATCGCCCGCGCGCGATTTTGACATGTGACTTTCTACAATTTCGATTCGATTGAAATCTGAAGGATGAGATGTACAATTTGGTGCATTGAAATATATATTTGTATTTGTTATATTATAAGCGCATGCGCTTATAATTTTTACTCAATTATAAGCGCACCCCCCAAAAAAACACTGTTTTATTATAAGCGCAGGTGCGCTTATATCCGGGGCAATACGGTATATCCGACTCACCTCACCCATGGGCACCAGGCATACGCATGGCACATGGGTCATCCGTCTAAGGAATGCTGTGCAGGCCATCCAGCACCCTGCCCTGCTCATGTTGTCATCTGTAACTCTGCTGATGTCATCTGGCACCTTACTGATGTCACCTCGTACTAGATGCAAGGCATCCAAGCATAAACTGGCAAAGGGATTAGGATTAGACTGCTCCATGACACAGCTATTTCTGCTCACCATGGTTCTCGCACTGTCAGAGCTACTGCTGCTGCTGCTGATGCTCAAGATGCTGCTGTTGTGCGGGCCAATAGTGTCCACATGTCCCGTCTGATCAATCCTGCTGCTGTTGTTATGATGCCGTTGTTACCGCTGCACTGGTTGCACAAACCAGGGCGGTCGCTGTTAGTGCAACTACAGTGAATTGATGTCGAAGTAAGGGCAAGCACGGCTACTGTTAATGCAAGCGCTGCTGCTGTTGTCGATACTGCTAATAGGGGGTACAGAAAACAGAAGACACTGTTCTATGTTGAGTCCTTCTGTATAGTCTCGGGTGCCAGTGTTGCAGCCATTGCTAATGCTGTCAAGCACGCTAACAGAGGCTACAGACAACAGGCCGCACTGTTCTGTGTTGAGCCCTACTGTATACTCTCGGCTGCCAATGATGCAGCCATGGTCCGCGGTAAAAACTGTTCCCTTAGCAGAATGAGTTGTAATGTCAGGAATGAGAGGGGATACAGTTACGTCTGCAACTTCTGGAGTGAGAGGAGTCATATCAGTATATTGAGTTGTCTTATCAGTAATAGGAGTCAAATCAGTAAAATGAGTTGTAGCACCAGTAGTAGGAGTCACATCAGTGAAATGAGGAGTCACATCAGTAAAATGAGCTGTAATGTCAGGAGTAGGAGTCATATCAGTAAACTGAGTTGTGATGTCTAGAGTAGGAGTCACATCAGTAAAAAAGGTTGCGATGTCCGCAGTGTGAATGCTTACACCTGCGCTCATCTGTGGTGGCAGCTGCTTGGTACAAAATAGAGATGTGGAGGCCTGCTGCTGTAACTGCTGCTGGAAGTACTGCTGTTGGTTTTGCTGTTGGTGCTGCTGCTTTAGCTGGTGCTGTTGATGGTGGTTGTGCTGTTGATGCTGCGGCAGTTGATGGTAGTGGTGCTATTGGTGCTGCTGCTGTTGTTGCTGGTGCTGTTGCTGCGGCTGTTGCTGTTGGTGTTCCTGCTGTTGCTGCTGCTGTTGGTGTTCCTGCTGTTGCTGCTGCTGTTGGTATTCCTGCTGTCGCTGCTGCTGTTGGTGTTCCTGCTGTTGCTGCTGCTGTTGGTGTTGCTGCTGGTGTTGTTGTTGTTGCTGCTGTTGCTGCTGCTGCTGCTGTGCTTCCAGCACAGCTGACCTTGTAGTGTCATCAGAGGCGTTTCCTTTTGCTGCTGCTGCTGTTGCTGATGGTGGTGCTGCTGCTGGTGGTGCTGATGGTGCTGCTGCACGTGCTCGCATATGAGCCATGGCGGCAAAGTAACTACTGTTGCTGTTGCTGTTGCTGTTGGTGATGCCTGACGAATGCACAGGAGGGAGAGGAGGAAGAAAGGGCGGGTGAGTGGTGGAGAAACGGGTGAAGGGAGGAGGGAGAGGAGGGGGGTGATGGAGCGAGGGGAAGGAGGCTTGAAAGCCGGTGGGTGAGCACGACATGAGAGGAGAATCATAGAGAGGAGCGTGGAGGGTATGGTAGACAGCTGCAGCATGAGTAGGAGAGGCTGCAGCAGGAGGAGGATGCGCTTTGGCAGAAGCAAGAGAGGCTACAACAGGAGCGGAAACTGTAGCAGAAACAGGAGGCACTGTATCAGGAGCTGAAGACACTGTAGCAGGAGCTGAAGACACTGTAGTCGCAGGGGCGCGAGAGACTATTGTAGGAGCGGGAGCTGTAGCAGGAGCAGGAGGCCCTGTAGCAGGGGGGTCAAGAGGCCCCATTGGAGGCACAGGGACAAGAGCATTTGATGCGGCAGCGGGAGCTTCACGCGATTGCACCACCTGGCTTGAAGGTGCCCGTGGGGGGCTGAACGGGAAGCATAGAGCAGCTTGGGCCGAATCAAAACACGCAGGGATGGCTTGAACACGTGCCGAGGGAGAATGCGAGAAAGGATAATGGGTTGGAGGGGGGTGTGCAGAGAGGAAGGGTAGCGATGGAGTTTGGGTTGCGCTGATGGCTGTCTGCTCTGCTGTTGCGCTGGGGGTACCTGACAGGCCGGTTGTTGCAAGGAGGGGCCTTGTAATGGGAGTCCAGGCTGTAGCTGGCGAGAAGGGTGTAGCAGAGCAAGTGGGTGGCGATGGAGTTTGGGTTGCTCTGAGGCCTGCCTGCTCTGCTGCTGCGTTGGCGGTTCCCGACAGACCAGTCGTTGCAGGGAGGGTGCTTGTATTGCGAGTGCAGGCTGAAGCAGAGGAGAAGGCTGTAACAGAGGAGAAGGCTGTAGGAGAGGCAAAGGCTGTGGTAGAAGAAAAGGTTGTAGCGGGGGCATAGGCTGTAGTAGAGACGAAGGCCGTAGCAGGGGCCAAGGCTGTAGCAGAGGCCAAGGCTGTAGCAGAGGCCAAGGCTGTAGCAGAAGAGGGGCCTGCTTGAGTGGAAAGGCCGCTGGCAGCAGGAAGCCTTGCGGCAAACGCCTTGGGAGGTACAGGATCGGGCGGCGGGTGGTTGTGTGAGCCAAAATATGCCACCCGCACCACCACACGCATCTCCGTCTTGCCCGACCCTGTGTCGTCTTCTTCTGCCCGCCCTGCTGCAGCCTCTCTTATTGTAGCAACAAGGTTGGCTGTAGCTGCAGAATTGCAAGCTGCTGAGGATGCTGCAGCACTGGCTGTAGCGGGAGCTTTTGCCGTGGCTGCAGCTTTTGAAACAGCTGTAGTTTTTGAGACGGCTGTGGCTTCTGAGACGGCGCCTTTCAGCCTGGATCGGCGCGGGTGACGAGCCTCGCCGGCCACTCGATCCTCAACTTTTTTTGCCGGGCAGCCCGTGACATCCTTTGACGAGCAAACGAAGTAGAGCCTGCAAGAAGGAAGGAGAAAAGGGGTGCACAGCACAGCGGGAGACAACTGAAGGGAATAGGGAAAGCATGCTTCAGCCCACAAGAGAGAACCAGAGACGACCCGAGCCGACCGGAGTCGGACGGAGCTGATAAGAGCCAACCAGGGTGAAGAATGCCAACAAGTATGGCTAGCACTGATCAGTGCCGCCCGGAGCCGAATAGAGCCGACCAATGCCGACCATTGCCGAACAGATCAGACGGATCCGGCCAGACCAGTGCCGAGAACGGCAGATCAGAGAAAACCAGTGATGAACAATGCAAAGCAGAGTTGCGTCGAGCAGGGAAGAGCAGACTCGGAGCAGAGCAAAACCAAGCCGGTCAATTAGAGCAAAACCAAGCCGGTCAATTAGAGAAAAACCAAGCCGGTCAATTAGAGCAAAACCAAGCCGGTCAATTAGAGCAAAACCAAGCCGGTCAATTAGAGCAAAACCAAGCCGGTCAATTAGAGCAAAACCAAGCCGATCAATTACAGCAAAACCAAGCCGGTCAATTAGAGCAAAACCAAGCCGGTCAATTAGAGCAAAACCAAGCCGATCAATTACAGCAAAACCAAGCCGATCCGAGCCGAGCTGAGCCGAGCCGAGCCGAGCAGAGCAGAGAAGGGAAGAGCAGAGTAGCACAGTGGAGCGTCCACCTGCATTGGTCGCAGCAGTACTAACGGCATACACCCTGACACCCCGCCAGTCAATGACAAGTGCCTTGAGGTCCCGAATGATGCAGAGAGTCCCCGCACCGCACCGCACCTGCATAGAGTATCCCTCGTGCCTGCAACGAATAATCTCTCTTGTGCCTGCAGAGTGCAACGAATAATCTCTCTTGTGCCTGCAGTGCAGTGCAACGAATAATCTCTCTTGTGCCTGCAGTGCAGTGCAACGAATCTAATCTCTCTTGTGCCTGCATTTAGAAATCTCTCCTGTCAGTCTTGCTAATTTCCGTGCGACGTTCAAATCTCTGGTATTCGATTGTGTTTACCTCTTCACAGGCTGACCCGCTATCCGCTTGTGAGACGTCTTCTTCCATTTGAATCCATCGGCTTCATGTTGTTGATGCCTACGCAGCTCAGATGGTTGCTGCTGCTGCTGCATCCAGCAAATGGGGAGGCTAATCTGAGTCACTGTCTCAGCCGGCTGCTGGTGAGCATCATCCGCTTTCCAATGCGACCCGCTGGTGCCACAGTGCTGCTGCTGCTGCTGCTGCTGCAACGCCGGGGCGGCGGCGCGTTGCTCCTCCCCAGTGTTCCCGTACTGAGGCTCAAATTTCATCCAACCAGCGGCAGGTTGAGAAGCTGCGCGCATCGACTCTGCTGAATCCATTGCCGGCGCCGGCGGTGGCAGCGCACAGCACCGCCGAGACTGGCAACAGCACCTGTGGAAGATTGCTCAGATTTTTGTTTTCTTTTATTTTTTAGAGTGAGAAGTCTGATTGTGATACAGTGGCGACACGAACACGAACACGGTATGTGTAAATTCGCGGGTTTTAGTCGAGCTCGAAAGACACCGTGTGGACCCTAGCTACCCCCGAGTGCATTTCGGGAGCCACACTTTTTGGGTTCGGAACACTAAGCGGTCAATGACGGTAAGGCTTAGTAATGGAAGAAGTGTTCGACATTTCTTAGCTGTACTCCGTTGTACTGTAGCGTGTGAACCCTAGGCGGCTGTTGTTAGGGTGTGTCACACACACGATTTACAGGTCATGTACCACTTTCCAGGTTGGTAAGTGGCGGTTCAAAATGGTGAATGGAATAAACCGCCCTAAAACGCACAACATCGTTCTCAGCCGTTTCATTTCAACAAAATAGTCCAAAGTGTGACTCGCCCTAAGATATGCAATTGGAAAACAGGAAACGATCGTCCCCTCCTCACTCCTGACTCATGCTACTAGTAATCTGAATGCTTGGATGGAACAGAATGCTGGGATGGGAAGGGAGTAATGCACAATGTACAATCGATGCTCAGTCAATCCCGTGAATTTGCCCTTTCCGATTGAAACCTATCCCTCGTGCAATTGTGCACAGCCAACGGCCCCTTATGTACAGTCACATTTTGCGCGGAAATGCAGACGGAGACATCTACAGTTGCGCCAGTGCTCAGACACACCGGAAATGTCATCCCAAAATTTCCAGTGCACAGTCCCACGTTTGCCTGTGGCGAAACTAGAAGAAACTGTCGAACAGCTCGTCCACATTACACTCTACTGCCGCCCTAAAAGGTGTCGTAAGCCAAATGGGCATCTTGTGTAGTACTGTATCATACAGTCACCGAAGGAGTGAACCAGCAAGATACTGTACAGAACTGTTGTGGGAGTGCAATGATGAAACAAGATTGTGCTGTCAACGCGGCGTGGAGAAGACGAATGTCTGTCCAAACATCACATGTTGGGGGGGAATGAGACAGGCGGTTACAAAAACAGTAACCAGAAGAATAGTAGCCATTGTACAGTGCAGTACATGAGGAACAGACACAGAACGGCAGTTAGTGAAGGGTTTTGAGTTGATAACGCACTGTTACTGTACTTATTCGCTCCCAGCTCAACTACAACACTTCTGGAGCACTACATACTGCCCGGTTTTCGCTTCGAGTTCAGAAACAATGCGATTTCAACGCAGTTTTGATTTCATTGGTCTACACATGGCACAGACTACAAACTGAACCTGTGGATACAAAGCAAAGACACTAGCAATTTTAGTTATGTTTTTCGTGATAAAAGTAATATATATCCCATTCAGAAGGGTATCAACCCTAAACACCTTCCAAATGGTGTTTAGGGTTGATGCTCTATCGATGGCATGCCATAAAAAAAAAAAAAGATACTCGTTGGGAAGGGCATCAACCCTAAACTCCTTCCGCTGGTGTTTAGGGCTGATGTCTCCCTAAAAAAACATGCCACCCGACAGGGTTTTATATTTTTTATGCCCGAAATATTAGGGTTTGACGATTTGGTTGCCGTCAACCCAAGCAGAGTTATCGGCCCGTCAATTGTTTGACCAATGAAACCAAAACTGCGTTGAAATCTCAATAACTCTGCGCTGTGAGCGATTCCTGGGCAGTAAAAGTGCGCCCGAAGCGCGGGGAGCAAATAGGTTCAGTAACAGTGCGCAATGGACTAAAAACCCGTGAGTGAACGAGGTTACAGCCCCTGGCTGGTGCGTTTACAACAGGGCACTCTTCCAAGGGTTTTTAGCTGATTCCGCTCTATTACTGAAAATATAAGCCAAAATCGCAGAATTTTCGCTTCTGGCGCACTGTTACTACCGAGTTTTCGCTCATGGCGCAGAGTTATATAGATTTCTACGCAGAAAAAAATACATTGGCCAAAATGTCAACGGGCCGACAACTCCGCTTGAATTGACGGCCATCGAGTCGTTTGCATCCAAATTTTGGGCAGACAAAAATATATACTCTCTCAGATGGCATATTGTTTAGGGAGACATCAACCCTAAACATCGGGCGAAGTCTTTAGGGTTGATGCCTTTTGCGACGTGTTTTATATCCTTTTAAGGCTGCATCGAGGGATGCATCGACCCTAAACACCATACGGATGTTTGTTTAGGGTTGATGCCTTCTCTCTATGGGCTGGAAAAAACCTTAAACACCAGACTGGGTTATACTGCATTCTCTTACAGAGTGGGGCTGTCATTTTCCAAAATGTCGACCAATGAACGTCGAACTGCGTAGAAATCGCACTAACTCTTCGCTCAAAGTGAAAAACGGGCAGTAACCCTACCCAGAAGCGATGGAACTGCGCATTTGGCGTTAGTTTCGAAAAGCGTGCTCACTCAACTGAAAACCCCTCTTCTAAATCAGTGTTCCAGCCAGGTGGCACGCGACAAAATCAGGGTAGTGACAGGGTGTTTCTTGCCACACCTGATTTTTGGCAGGGGGATTTTTTCGAGGACCCTGTTTTGCCACAAGCAGGGCTAAGTTTTCGTTGTAGGGCACCCAGTAAAAAAAGAGTGACTCTCGCGTTCCACCCGGTCTGGGCTGTCAAATTATATACTTCTAGTTATTTCTCTCTATGTTGTGTAGGGGTCATTCCTTAGAGGGTACAACCCAATTCTCTCGATTGCCTTCTATCCCCTCCCCTTACCTAATCGACACACCTTCATAGTATTCTCAACATGGTATTAAGAAATAGGACCTTCCAAAGCCTAGGACGATTTTTTTTTTCAAAGGGCCCACCGTTAAAACCTTCCGTGTTCCTGCCCGAATCGCGTTCTCTGATTTTTCTGCCCGAAATGCGCCCTTAGGTGCGTCGATTTTCGCTGCCCCACGGCCCTGCCCTGTCCTGTCGCGCGTAGCCCACGAGCAGCCCGTACAGCCCACGTCAGGCCCGCGCGCGGCCCGTATAGTCCGCGATAGGCCTTCGCGACGCCCGTACAGCCCGCGCCAGGCCCGCGCGCGGCCCGTATAGCCTACGTCAGGCCCGCACGCGGCCCGTACAGTCCGCGCTAGGCGTTCGCGCAGCCCGTACAGCCCACGTCAGGCCCGCGCGCGGCCAGTACAGCCCACGCCAGGCCTGCACGCTGCACTGCGCCTGTGCTGCTGCTCTACCACTGCTGCTATTTGCTGCAGCAACTCCTACTTGCTGCCACTGCTGCTATTTGCTGCAGCAGCTCGTACTTGCTGCCACTGCTGCTACTTGCTGCAGCTGCTCCTACTTGCTGCCGCTGCTGCTACTTGCTGCAGTTGCTCCTACTTGCTGCAGCTACTGCTACTTGCTGCAGCTGCTCCTACTTACTGCCGCTGCTGCTACTTGCTGCAGCTGCTCCTACTTGCTGCCGCTGCTGCTACTTGCTGCAGCTACTCCTACTTGCTGCCGCTGCTGCTACTTGTTGCAGCTGCTCCTAATTGCTGCAACTGCTCCTCCTTGCTGCTGCTACTTGCTGCAGCTACTCGAATCTGCTGCTGCGCGCCGGCTGCTGCTGCTGCTCCACCACTGAGCACGAGCCGTGCCGCTCATTCATAACCGCGCCGCCCAGCCCGAACTGCAACTACTGCTGCTACAGCTAGTGCTACTGTTGCTACTGCAACTACTGCTGCTACAGCTAGTGCTAACCTGCTGCTGCTGCTCGAGTTACTGCTACTGCTACTGCCACTGCTACTACCGCCATGGGTAGCCCTAGTGTTCTTACATTCGATGCTGAGGGTCGAGCGGGCGATGACCTCCAGCTCTTTCTGCAGTGCGAATCTAGGGATGGAGTTTCACTGTTCGATCACACGTCTGGCGTCGCTGTTGTACCTGCTGCCGATGGTGACAGTGCCGTTCGCTCGCAGTGGACCACGCGCGATGCTGCTGCGCGCCTTGCTGTTCGTAGTCACCTGCCGTCTGCTGAGCGCGCGCACTTTAGCCAGTACAAGACTGCTCAGACTCTGTACGACGCTGTTGTTGTGCGCTACTCCTCCCCTGTCACTGCTGCCCTTAGCCGCCTCATGCTGCCGTACCTGTTCCTTGAATTAGCTGCTTTTGCCACAATCGCTGACCTCATTACGCACCTCCGCACTAGTGACACCCGCTACCGCGCTGCGCTTCCTGCCGAGTTCTGCGCCGCGAACCCCCCCCCCTATGTACATCACTTTCTACTACCTCGTCACCCGGCTCCCTGACTCCCTTCGCTCGGTCAGGGACCACTTCCTCTCCCTTTGCCCCACCACGTTCACCCGTCAGCCTGGGTCGAGCCTGTACACCCTGACTACTGTGTCTCCTCCGATTGCTGAGTCTGGTCAGGTAGCCGCGTCGGGTCAGGTGTTTGCTGCAGCGTCCCGGTCTGTTCCTGAGTCTGCCCCCTGCTCGTGTCGCCTCCTGTCTCACCAGACTCTCTTCTGGCACCACCGCCTTGGTCACCCCTCCCTGCCTCGTCTCCAAGGCATGGCCACCCGTGTCCTTGTCACTGGTCTTCCCCGGTCTCTCCCTCCCCTCCCCCCGGGGCCTGCCCCTACCTGCGTTCCTTGCGTCGAGGGGCGGCAGCGCGCCGCTCCTCACTCCTCCGAGTTCCATCCGATGGAGGCTCCTCTGCAGACTCTTCACATGGACGTGTGGGGCCCAGCCCGCGTCCGTGGACAGGGTCACGAGCACTACTTTCTGCTGGTGGTTGACGACTACTCGCGTTACACCACAGTCTTCCCCTTGCGTCGCAAGGGTGAGGTCACTGAGGTGCTGATCGACTGGATCCGCGCTGCTCGTCGTCAGCTCAGTGAGAGTTTCGGCTCGGACCTTCCTGTTCTGCGTCTGCACTCCGACAGAGGTGGAGAGTTTTCCTCCGACCTTCTGCGAGCCTTCTGTCGTGCGGAGGGCATCCGCCAGACGTTCACGCTTC